AACTTTGACAGTATTTTGTTTTCAACATTTCATAGCTATTGGTTGCTAAACTTTGTTGATTGGATCTTGAAGCTCATTCGCTGTATTTGACGGACTGTTACCCTATAGGTGGAGAATAACGGACTGTTGATTTGACAATCCTTCTGAAATCCACCCTAAGAGTTCTAACACGACAACGGAGAGCTATAAACAGATATATTCATCTCTCAGACTTTTTCGTTTATGATGGAGCAAATGTTAGATATGCGCTGTATTTTACCCTCTATTGAGAACCTCGTGACTTTTACTCTTGATATGTCATTATGCAAGATGACAGTTTTTTATGAAAATTTAGAATCAATGTTATAAAACGACAGGGAACTACGTACCACTTGTTGAGATAAGAAGCAATGGCATTTTACAATAAATACGGGTTGGAAATCCAAAAATTCCCTATTACATTACTTTGACTCTATAGAGCGGCAGATCTATCACTTTTGTGATTGGTCTTTGGAAAACATTAACTTTGCTTTTAAGCTTTTTTCATAATCTCCCATTTTCCAACCGCATTATACCGAAAACGTCACTAGATAATTACGTCGTCACTTAGTACATATTGACGTCTAAGCTTAAGGGTGCCATCAACTTTCAGTAAACAACTAATACCAGTTCTTGACGGCTGATAACTAGTTTCATAATCTGGATCCCTGACCACCCCATACTGAAATATGCGCCAGCAATTGCAGCGCGAGTTGATGAATTTGACACGCTTGGCGCTACTGCATCGATCTATAATCTGATCTCTTTTGATTAATGCTGGAAGGGGTGATGTCACCCATTCGCTCACCGCTTGCAACGATGATAAGTGGCCCACTATACGTGGCATAACGTACTAATTAATTGTCAGGTATACACAATGTAATTGGACAAGCGAGACAGTGGTCCCGAAGGGATGCATACCACCGGACTTTGACAGATATATATGGCTGTTTACTTGGGGCTCGTACACTGGAAAGGATCAGTCAATAGGGTCAACGGGGAAAGATACTAATTGCCAACGATTATTGACTCAGACTTCGTTTGAAATAAGATTGCTATTCATGAGCTTGATCATTGTGGTGTTGATCTGGAAAATAGGGGATATCTGTGATAACATGAATAATGGCGTCAAGTAAGTTGACTCCCACACTACGCTGTCATCATTTCGTAAAGGACTATGTTTGGCACAAGTTAGCCCTTATAAGAAAAAGGTTAGTCACGAACATGTATAACAAAAAATTAAATAACCTTTCTTCTCCCCCTGAGACGAATTGCTGCTGAATGACGATATTTGCCTTCACCTTGGAAAGTGCCCTCAGCCCACAGTAGTGTGGAATTGATTGCCGACTGAGACGTACGACCACCTACGACAACGCTTATCCATCGTGGACGACGTCGATCGACATCCGACTATATTTCTAAGGGTAAATGTACGGGTACATCTATGATGAGTGAAATATGCCTAATATGTGCGTAGAATTGGAGACGTCAAAAAAATTATCAATTAATCTTCATCGAAATTCGAGTGCTGCTTCCCAAGTTATAGGCGGTTATAAGATCAGCGGACAGGCCGACAAACAGACAGACCGACGGAAATGAGGGATATGGTTTTTGCTGATGTACATGTGATATAACATCCAAAAAACATAACATCGCATTTTCGAAAGTCTTGATTACAACAAATTGGTTAAAATGTTTTCTTGTCGATATCGAACCAAATAGATAATAGAAACTCCCAATCTTCATCTATACTAAGGGACATATAGATCCGAACACCCAGTTTAAATGGTTTTATTTTAATAAAATTTTGTATAAGTACTTAATGAAGCATATTAAGTAAATGATAAAAATTTCAAAATGATTGCACTGCTTTAAAGCCCTTTGACCTTTAATAATGTGTGGATGCCCCCTGATGTGCTACGCATTCTCCAACGCGCCTAGGCATGCTTCTGATCAGGTGGTCAATGTCCTCCTGTGGTCTCATTCCAGGCAACCACCAACTCCTCTCGAAGTGCTTCTAGAGTCTGAGGAGGACGTTGCAAATTGAGCAATCTCCTACCCATCATATCCCACACGTGCTCAATTGGGGATAAGTCGGGAGATCTTGGTGGCCATGGTAACAATGTGACATCATTATGTTGAAAGAAGTCTATTGTGACTCTTGCAACATGTGGTCGGACATTATCTTGTTGGAAAGGTGGATCTGCCAGGATGTCAAGATAGGGTAAAAGATGGGGTTCTAGAACTTCGTGGATATAACGCTGCGCGTTCATGTTACCTCTGATGAAGATTAAAGGTGACCCGGAACCATAAGCTATAGCACCCCAAACCATAACTCCAACAGTGTGATGAACATGTCTTTCAACAAAAAACTGTGGATTCCTCCTTTCACCACGTCGCCTTCTAACCCTGGCACGACCATCGTGCATGCCTAAACAAAATCAAGACTCGTCACTTCCTCGACGTTCGCTGCATATACAGCCTTGAGGGTTGGTATCTCATTCCTAAAGAAGAATGAATGTACGGTTCTCCTTAACGCCATTTTGCTATCGTCATCCAATTTAACGGCCTTTCGTCCCTTCAAATTAAACTTTGGATCAGTAGTAGCTCCAGTTTTCTTCTTTTCATGCACCACCCTGCGAATGGTCCACTCTGGAATGCCTGTCAAACTTTCACAACGCGCGAGTGCATCTACCTGCGACATAGTTCTGTTCAGATAATTGAACACGTTGAGCACGATTTCTTTCGCGTCCCTTTTCAGTGCTTTACGAAGCCGTCTACTTGTTCCCTGGCTTTCAGTACTTCCACTCGTGCCATTTGTACTCTCCATGGTTAAGTATAACCAAAACAGTAACCACAGAAACCACAACAATAGCAACCACACAACAATTCTTATAAAAACACACAATATGCGATCGCTCAACGAAACACGTTCCAATGCGTTGCCGACGCCTATGAGTCTGCCGGTCGAGGCGCGTCTTTGATTTCATTGGTTCTACCGGCGGAGAACAATCAGCCATTATTTCCATCTCTGTCTGTGCTGTTGACCACCGCAAAGCCACAGAAACGACATATGTCGTACGGTATATGGCTGTACTGGAAGGAAGCCGGGATCGAGCTCTGATCACGTGTTGATCACGCGTATGAGTCATTACAGTTTTAAATAGTTGTAGTATAGAAGGTCTCCAGTTGAGGATATAATGTTGTAAAGACTCAAGACATACGGATGTACTTTTTAGGCTAGTATGATCTGATAAAGATACACTAAATTCATTTGTCGTGTACGTCAGTACCTATCTGGTTATTCCAAGGGTGATAAAAATTACCTTGATGGTAATTAGCAATTACCTATAATGAATGACTCCATTAGCTAACTGATAGAACAAGTCAGATTCAGGTCGTGATAAATGATCGTTTGATTGTATCAGTGGTCATAAATGCTTACGTTATTGTCATCGTGATAATGTTGATGTATACGTATTGTACACGCACACATCTGGCAGCTAAAAATGATTGCCTACATCCATTGAATTACTTTGGAAAATTGGGATTTTATTCATACGGCGAGCCCTTTTACAATAATGTACCCGAAACTACTTCTTAATAGTAACTAAAAGCGCATTATCTGATTTAATGAAACCGCTTAGACTTGACAACAGGATCCATATCCGTTAGATTGTAAGGCTAATTAACCCTTTGTGTCCGGAATTAAATAATTTTAGGATTTTCACTTCATAAACCTAGTTCCGAACCTAAAGGATGTAAAAAAACGTCAGACATTTTGTGAAAAAAATGTATTACACATATTTTTTGAAAAAGTGGTGGTCACCCAAACGAACCAGTAGGACCACCAAACAAAAACTTTTCCCAAAGAAACAAAGCATTATCTTTCCACAACATGAGGCTAATCGACGTTATGATATGCAAGAAAACAATTTCTCTTGTCATTCAGGCATAAACCTACATCGCAAATCGTGCAACTCCACATATTCCTATGAGCTTCCTTTTTTGTGCTGCAGATGGCGCATCGTCTGGAAGTTCCATATATAGGCGTGTGAGCAGATTTTTCCGTCCTTTTTTCAATGGGAACGTATTTTATATAATGATTTATGGGTTCCATTGATTTTCGACCTTTTTTCTTGGTAATGCATCCCGACGCAAGTCCTGAAGAGACATTTATCCTGAACTGTTTCAAATCGAGAGTCGAACCGCAGCAGCGTTTTTGAAACAAAATGTACGTGTTGACTACCGTAGTATCGACAAAGTGACAAACTATCCTATGGTACCACTTCTTGCTTTTTCGATCTATCGCGTAGCATTCTTTTAGCATGTCCCCCTTATTGACGGCACCCATATGTTTATTGTAATCCACAACCAAAGACGGACAAGTTACTTCTGACACAGTTCCATCTTTATTCTTTCTATTGATTGTTATGGTAATTTTGACAAGAAATAAACTGGTTTTTTGTCTTTCCATTTTAGACATACCAACCATTTGTCATTCTCCAGTCATATGAAGTAAACGACCAGCAGTCATGAACGCGCAGCACTGAGCACTGAGTTGAAATGTCTTTAGATTCGATCCGAAATTTTTTGATAACATTGTGATAGTCTGTGTGAATTTAATAGTGCGAGATTGTTCAGCTCGATTTTTCTGCATTTGATTTGAATGGGACAATCGTAAACATAGCATATCGAGTAAGTCACTACATTCCTTAGACCCAGTGGTGTAACATAATCGGATCTTCTTCAAATTATCTTTACTTGACGCATATCAGCAAAAGGGTGGGAATCAAAGCAAACAAGCAATAATAGCTAGCACAATATCTAAGGTTCTCACAAGATCCAATGTTCGCAACTTAAAGGCAAATAGACCAACGAAAACACCATCAACTTCTCAATTGACAAAAGGAGCATCATCTTCTGCTAATACGAGTTATATAAGTATAAAATGTGACTATGATTCTGATGATAATCAGGATATGTCTAATAATATTATTGATAACCTTAGAAATAAACTCGCACAGCAACAGGCCATAAACGAAGACATAATGGAGAAAAACGCAAGTATGTTGGACGAAATTAAAGAACTGAAACTAAAGCTATCCAATAAAAATGAAATAATAAGTACTCTACAAAAAACTCTCGATAATTTATCAGTGAACAAACAACTGTTTCATACACAGACGCAAACCGATATAACTGAAGCTGGTATAAAATTCATGGAGGATAAAGTAGCAGATGTAAAGAAGAGAAAAGGAGAATTGAATCAAGAAATCAGCAGACAAATTGAACAAATTGAGCAACTGAATCAAATAATGGAACTTAATCAAGGAATAGATGGAAAAACATTAAATATTGAAAGTGCCCTGGATGTTGATAACGTATCCTTAGAACAAAAAGGACAAAGGAGCGGAGAAAAAACCACATAATTCCATTTTGTGTCACGTCTTTGACCACTCTTCCTCCTAAATCTTTTTGTGGCAAGTCACCAATCTTACCAGAATATATTTGAAAATCGCAAATATACCCTGAATCATCAGCCCGTACCCAAACTTTGTATCCACTCCATAATTATTAATATTATTTATTTTATTCTGTAAAAAAAAATAAATGACCGTTTACAGTCCAAGTGGTTACCTCAAGAAACCACTACTTATTACATGGAACAAAACCCTGTCAGATGGTAAATTGATCAATTGAGTCGGAAGGTATAAAATATTACAGTTATAAAACTAAGTACTGACGTGTCATTTCAATTTTCACGCAGTGTGTTCACGTTTACAAACAGCCGAAAAAAGACACACGCGGAACCTTCGCAATGGATAAAGAAACTTCACGGAATACACACTTCCTCGCACGGGTCAGAGCCGTCAATTTTTTTCCCGATAGATGTCACTAACGGTAATACTTTTAAACCGCGGTAAGGCTACCCGACCAGTAGGACTGAAATTACGTGTTTTAATAATATAGGTGGTTACATAGATCGACCAGTAGAACGGAAAGGGTTAAGGTGCACCTCCGCAAAGAGATAAGAGGCAGAACTCAGTTTCTTTACACCACGGAGTCTCAGTATCTGTTCGGATGCTATCGAAACAGTGTTGAAAATCATAATACAGGAATAATCTAGCCCGCAAGCTCGCGTTTGGCTACGGTAGTCAAAACAGCATGATAATTAACCTTAAGTTGAAATATCTTCTGCTTGCTGCTGACTAATTGATTAAAATACTTTGTGTTTTGAGTAACTGTTACGGTATGTTTATTCACTATGGTAAGATCATACTGTATAATATAGTAAGGTGCCTGAGGTGAATAAGGCCCACCTAACTTTCAAGCTAAAAAACTCAGGGATATCAAAAAAATTGAAAAAACGTAGTTCAGTAGAAAGCTTTTTTTATCTAAGATAAGAATAAAAGATAAATAGTAACACAGAAATCAGCATGGAAATGAACATAACGATTGTTAAAAACTATTGCCATGGGCCTTATTAAACTACCACAGTAATTTAAGGCCCGAAAATAAATATTTCTTTCTTATGAAATTATCAACAAGACTTAAAGTTTTTGGCATTTTTCAGCAGCTAAAATCAACAAAAAACATTTTAATACATAAACTTGAGAGATAATAACAATGGGACTTATACTAAGTGACATATAAATCCGAACACCCAGTTTAAATGGTTTTATTTTAATAAAATTTTGTATAAGTACTTAGTGAAGCATGGTAAGTAAATGATAAAAATTTCAAAATGATTGCACCGCTATAAAGCCCTTTGACCTTTAATAATGTGTGGATGCACCCTGATGTGCTACGCATTCTCCAACGCGCCTAGGCATGCTTCTGATCAGGTGGTCAATGCCCTCCTGTGGTATCTCATTCCAGGAAACCACCAACTCCTCTCGAAGTGCTTCTAGAGTCTGAGGAGGACGTTGCAAATTGAGCAATCTTCTACCCATCATATCCCACACGTGCTCAATTGGGGATAAGTCGGGAGATCGTGGTGGCCATGGTAACAATGTGACATCATTATATTGAAAGAAGTCTATTGTGACTCTTGCAACATGTGGTCGGGCATTATCTTGTTGGAAAGTTGGATCTGCCAGGGTGTCAAGATAGGGTAAAAGATGGGGTTCTAGAACCATAAGCTAGAGCACCCCAAACCATAACTCCAACAGTGTGATGAACATGTCTTTCAACAAAAAACTGTGGATTCCTCCTTTCACCACGTCGAGTTCTAACCCTGGCACGACCATCGTGCATGCCTAAACAAAATCGAGACTCGTCACTAAAGACAATACAGTTCCATTCCTGATCCCAGAGTGACCGTTGTCTGCACCACTCAAGGCGATTACGTCGGTGTTCTCGAGTTAAAGGGAGGACCCCCAGTGTGGCCGGTATCAAAACAAGCCAAAACTTCTCATTCCTCGGTAAACACTTCGCATGCCAATAGGTCTTCCGTGTTTGCAATGGACCTGGTAGTGGAGAAACGGTCCCTTAAGGACAATAATCTTAGGCGGCGATCTTCACGGTCTGTTGTTCTACGGCGGCGTCCAGTGCCCCTTGCTATTTGCGTACGGCCTTCTCGAAGCCATGCCTGACAACACCTAACCACAGTGTCTACACTTCTTTGCACTCTAACTGCAATTGCCCGAAAAGAAAGTCCAGCTTCCCGAAGTCCCACTATACGGCCCCTATCAAACTCACTAAGTTGACGAAATCGTACAGGTCTCCGTACTCTAACCATCGTAACCGATCGTAAAGGATGTCAAGAACCAAAATCCACCGACGTTGATTCTTTACTGCGGCTGAAATATTCATTCTTAGAGCGTTAGTGAATTAAAAAAAAAGCAGTATAAAAACCGGAATGTCCAACTGATAAGGCTGAAAATTTTGTCACTTGTTATTTTCAGTAAGATAAATACATTCACCAACTTTTATTAAAATAAAACAATTTAAACTGGGTGTTCGGATTTATATGTCACTTAGTACATTAACCTGCGGGGGGTAATAAGGCCACTTTTTAAGTTATTACAAGATTTCTTATTTTAAGGCTTAAATGGCATATCCTAAATCAGACTTTGGATTGGGAACATTGGAAGTAGATTCGTTTAGAAACATTGTACTTGAACGACTAAGAGGTTCGACTGAATACAGATAAATAGCCCATCAATATAGATCCTAGTTTACTAAATGATAACGATACTCATTCATCACAGTTTAGACAATAAAATAATATTTTCTTGCAAGCACAGCAAAACCAAGATTCTTCTGACGGAACTTTGCTTCTTTTTCTTTCATCACTATGAGATCGTTGTTGGTTTCCATCTTTAGTTTTCTTTTCTGTTTCTTTGGTTTTTCATTTGTAATTTTTCAGTGTTGTTTTCTCTGCCTTCTCGTTTTCATTCAATGCTTCTCGTTCTTTGAATAGGTCTTTGGTAATTCGTTGGCCTTTAGAATTAATAGCTTTTCTCCTATGCTTATTTTTTGTTACAGCATAGTTCGGAGTTGGCAATAGCTCTTGAAAGGGAGACCTAAATTTCTTAGCTTTGAAGTTAGCTAAAGCTATGTTGTTATCAGAACTGAAACTATCGCTGTCTTCGACTTTTTCCTTTAGAACAATATATATTATCCATGGGCAGTGATGATTTGTTTGATGCCAGTTTTGTTCTCTGCTGTACAATAGTCATTTCAGTATCGGCCTCGGATTCTGAACTATAAACCACATGACCACGATATGTGATGTCTTGAAGTGGAAGGTTGTGGTGAGTGCATCAGAGTGACAACGTTTCTACTAATGATCTGTATCTTCTTTCTACATTACTCAAGATCTTTCAGATGACTGGATGATGTCTTTATGTTGTTGATTAGTATTAACCGTCAAGGCATGCGGATTTGTGGCTCTTTGGGCAGAACTTTTTTCAGGTGAATGTGGAGCTTGCTCTAAAAGAAATGGAGAATCACCATTGTTCTGAGGCTGTTCTTCTGGCTGATTGACACAATCTATATCGGAGCCGACTGCAGCACTGGGTTCTGTTGGTGGCGGTAGCTCAGTTAAGATAGATGGAATATATGCCTCGTCAGGTAATATGTCCGGATTGAAAGGGTATAGGCCTGTAGCCCGAAAACCGTTTACTATATTTTCATGGGTCAAACATTGTAACCAGACCCTTGTGAAAATTGCATTAAAACTGGTTTTCGTTATGCGTTTTACCGGATTTTGGTACATGTACTTCAGCACCTCCTGATCCGAATAATGTTCAAACGATTTATTAACGGATTTATCGAGGAGCTGTAGCTCATGAGTTGTGTTACTTGGGAGGCTATATAGGACTATTTCATGACGGTCTGCTTCCTCAGCAATCGTATAATCTAATGGGATGTCGCTCCATCGAAGATTAATAAAATTTTCCATTGAACCTTATATTTTGCCAAATGTTTGATGAACTCAACAAATAATTCGGTTTTCATACTTCCTTTCGGTGACATTTTTACGAAACTGCCGGCTGGTAAATTGTCACTAAATTCAGGTTTCTGCATCTGCCCTTTAAATATACTAAGTGACATATAAATCCGAACACCCAGTTTAAATGGTTTTATTTTAATAAAAGTTGGTGAATATATTTATCTTACTGTAAATAACAAGTGAAAAAATTTTCAGCCTTATCAGTTATACATTCCGGTTTTTATACTGCTTTTTTTTAATTCACTAACGCTCTAAAAATGAATATTTCAGCCGCAGTAAAGAACAACGTTGGCGGATTTTGGTTCTTGACAACCTTTACGATCAGTTACGATGCCTAGAGTACGAAGACCTGTACGATTTCGTCAACTTAGTGAGTTTGATAGGGGCCGTATAGTGGGACTTCGGGAAGCTGGACTTTCTTTTCGGGCAATTGCAGTTAGAGTCCAAAGAAGTGTAGACACTGTGGTTAGGTGTTGTCAGGCATGGCTTCGAGAAGGCCGTACGCAAAGAGCAAGGGGCACTGGACGCCGCCGTAGAATAACAGACCGTGAAGATCACCGCCTAAGATTATTGGCCTTAAGGGACCGTTTCTCCACTACCAGGTCCATTGCAAATGAATGGTTTGCAGAACACGGAAGACCTATTGGCATGCGAAGTGTTTACCGACGAATGAGAAGTTTTGGCTTGTTTTCATAGCGGCCACACTGGGTCCTCCCTTTAACTCGAGAACACCGACGTAATCGCCTTGAGTGGTGCAGACAGCGGTCACTCTGGGATCAGGAATGGAATAGTATTGTCTTTAGTGACGAGTCTCGATTTTGTTTAGGCATGCACGATGGTCGTGCCAGGGTTAGAAGGCGACGTGGTGAAAGGAGGAATCCACAGTTTTTTGTTGAAAGACATGTTCATCACACTGTTGGAGTTATGGTTTGGGGTGCTATAGCTTATGATTCCAGGTCACCTTTAATC